CAGGCAGGGAGAGTGCCCAGTCCCCTCCTGTGGAAGGCAAGAGATCTTGTCTAATACTTCCACAAGGAGGCCAAAATCTATGTTAAACAAAAAACAAAAAAAACCACATTACCCACTGTGACTGTTAATTATATTAAATATCAGATAAAAGTATGTTTCATTTCTTGACTGCAAAAACAAAAACTGATCTGAGCCATCTGCTTGCTATGAAGTACTGGCTATTATGATGAGCTACACTAAGTATCTGCACTTATCAGTTTGGAGGGGCAAGAGACCTTCCCAATGATTCTAACTTAAGAATCCTCAATCATGTGCATGCTGGTGGGAGGCAAAACCCACCCTGCCCCATAGACACTAAAAAACTCACATACACTCTTCCAGCTCTGATGCGGCTAAAACCCAAGTGTGTGAGCCAGGCTTGGCCAGTTTACAACTCTCCCTGCCTAATCCTAAACATCTTCTCTTCCAGATGAATTTTTATATCTATTTTATACTGCGTTATAAAGAAGAAACATTGGATGTTTACAGAAGTCAAAGTGTTCTATATAATACTACTATAGACTTCTGATGTGTAGACATCAGCGAATGAGCCCTGATGTAAACTGTCTTTGCATTACTGTGATTGTCAGTGTGACACCGAGTTTGTCAACTGAAGCACTTTGGTATGGTTGTTGATAATAGAAGAAACCATGCATGTATAAGGGAAGCTGTTGTACCTTCCAGTCAATTTTGCTACAACCTAAAAGTACCCCTTTTCAAGAACTTTAAAAAAAAAAATCCTCAAAACCAAAAAATTGTGGTTAGTACAGGTTCAGATTAGTGATTGAAATATATTTCTAGCCCCAGGGTTTGCTCCCCAGGACTTCAAGAATCAATAGCAAAGGGGGGATTTCACCGGGGATTAGATAACTATACAGATAATTTTAGGAGAACTAGTTTGTTTAAGATAATAAATATGTATGTGTATACCCACTCAGCAATATGGTATTTCTTTTTATTCAGTCAAGTCTTGAATCCTTCAGTAAAGCTTTATCATTTATTTTGATACAAAGCTTGCACATATTATTAAATATTTTTGCTGTTACAACATGGAACATTATTCCTTTTCCTACAGAAAAGAGGCTGACTCGCCCTGATGCTTCAATGTGCACTCTACACTCTTGTTAGGTTCAGATCTAGCAACAGATACACCTGACTATAAAATATAGGAGTTAGCTCATTTTCATAAGTTTAACAAGAGTCTCATGAAAATCACATGGTAAGATAGGGCAAATGGAATCAAGAAACACGGTGTAGCAAGCAGGTGGCAAACCTCTCTGAAGAGCTTTGAGATAAAGATGGCACCTCATGTGCTTGTTTTAAATCAAGACTCTAGCATGTGAACAACCAACCAAAAGGGTGTCTTAGCCTAACACACCCTTCTACTGTGGCTAAATACTGACTTTTAAAGTTCCATTTCTATGCTGTATGTGTGAGTATGTGCACACGTGCTGGAGAATGAGAGAGCACACACATGTGCATGCCCACGGGGATCCACACATATGGAGATGAGAGGACAACCTTCAGAAGTTAATTCTCTCTTTCCAGAATGTGCGTCCTAGGGATCAAATGCAAGTCACCCATCAGGCTTGGTAGCAAGTACTTCGCCAGCTGAGCCATCTTGCCAGCCCTTAATTTATTTTTGCTCCCACAGACCTAGTTCAAGGTCAAGAGATAGACAGATGTGGCTCACGTTTACAGAAAGAACCAGAACATGGACAATGAGAGCATGTACCCGCCCACCCCCCCAAAAAAAACTTCAAAGTTTTGGAAATTTCATTTCCAAATATGTCTCTCTACATTCCAGAAACTCACATTTTACCCATCTATGAGCATAGATAAAAATTTGTAATCGTGGCTGGAGAGATGGCTTGGCAGTTAAGAGCACTGACTGTTCTTCCAGAGTTCCTGAGTTCAATTCCCAGCAACCACACGGTGGCTCACAACCATCTGTAATGGGATCTAATGTCGTCTTCTAGTGTGTTTAAAGACACCAATGTACTCACATTAAATAAATAAATAAATAAATAAATAAATAAATAAATAAATAAATAAATATCTTTTAAAAATGTGTAATCATTTTTCAAAAGAATTTTACTAATGTCAGAGTTCCCCTAAAAGGGGTTCAATCTCACAGACCAGGACATACATATAACTTGCGTTTCACCCTTGCTAATTTTTTTTTTCCCAGTTTGAGGTAGATACACATCCTACATTCTTTTAGGGACAGAAGTCAGAAGCAAAGCTCTTCGATACTTCTGGGACAGGGCTGGGGAGATAGCTCAGAGGCAGGGTTCTCACTAGTTGCTGATAGCCCTAGGTTGAATCCTTGGTTGTGGGTGTGAGGAAGAGCCACTACTATTTAGACAGATGTGGTGGCACATCTGTAATGCCAGCAACTGGGAAGCGGAGGCCAGGCTGGGCTACATGGAGAAACCTTGCCTCAGAAACGACCCCGACAATGAAACAAACAAATTTAAAAAACACTCTCCTTTTCAAATCTCTGAAAACCATTTAGTTTCTTTTGAGTTCTCCTAACTCTAACTCAGTCACTCTGTTTCCAAATTCTCAAACTATGCTCAGCATCAAATCAAAAGAAAACAAATCTATTAGAGAAAATTCTACAAAGGATGTGAAAAGTTCAACTCAGTTTTTTAAACAACTATTCCCTAAATGTGATGACTGTGTGTTCAAGTACACAAGAATCTCCTTCTGTCCTTAGAATAAAGATGGCCTTTAACTGGGAACAGTATGGCAAACACTCTCCATACTAACTGTCTCCCAGTCTCTCAAGTGTCTTGGACCCAGTAGCTTTAACTTACAGAGAGGCTCAGCTAGGACTCACTTAGAGGATGAAAGTTGGCACAGAACTCAGCATAGAAGTTGTCAGGTTCCAAGTATTTACCCAATTCTTTTCACGTAACTTCATCTGGATGTAAAATTCCAACTGCTTTCTTCTCAACACAAGACAACCAGGTTGTAGTTAAAAGAAAAGGGCCCAGACCATACAGATGCTTTATACAAAATGTTCCCATTACATTTTCAAGTTGGTTTGCTCTAGTGAAATCCCAGGAGCGTTGAGCCTATTATAAAGACAGAGCTTAGACAAAGCAGTAGTTACTCTTAAAAGGCCAAAGGGAGAACTAAACCCCAAGTTCGATGTTTTGAAACTGGAAACCTTTCAAAGGCCAAGTGTGCTCACTGCCTGGCCTGCCTGGAAGGCACAGGTGCTAGGCATCATTTAAACTGCTATTTCCCAGGATCCTGGCATCATGTAAGAGGAGGGTCTTTGCTGAGAGAGTTTGTTACTCTATAGGGAATTTGGCTTGAAGACCCTGGTCCTGGGAGGAGGGGGGGGGTACCTGTTTGCTTAGCTGCTCCACCCCATCAGATAGCTTAGTTCATGCTAAAAATTACAAAGGCTTCGAAGGCAACAAAAAAGTCTCTTAGAATTAGTATCAGATGAGCCAAAACTTTGAAAAAAAATTTAACTGCTTTCAAAAAAAAAATAATGAGAAAGATATTTTGGCCCTGACCCAGCAGAGGATGAATGCGCCCCTGGAAAGAAATTATGTGAACTAAAATCTCACCATAGTAACAATTCTAATTAATTATTCAAGGCTAGGGGTTGGTTCTCTAAGGTTATGAGCTAACTATGCCGCCTTCTGTTTATATCATTAGTATCTGCTTTCTTCTATTCTTTCTATCTGTTTACCCAGGCATTAAGGAGAAGGGTAAAATGGAATCCTAACAGCAACCTTGTTCTAAAGGCTTCACTTTTGAGGTGAGCTTGCCACTTTGCAGGCTTGGTTTAAGGAATAATTAGTAATAAGTAGAAATCATATCTAGGTCCCACATAACCCTAATATTCAGAGGTCTTCTGAGCCCCTTATAAATGCATGGAAACAAATTAACAACATATAAGGCCTTTTGGATTACAAATAAAACCAAATTGGTGACACTTCAGTACCATGTGTACTCATTTATAGTTTACCAGAAATGAAAGCTGAAAGATTTCTTGACATTGAGTAATTTTAAAAGGAGCCATTTGCCAACAAGAGAAGATTTAACCTGAGTTTAAAGAGTGGTTTACAGGGTAACCCTAAAGGTAACACTTTAACTGTGGATACAAGTACACGCGGCATAGACTCTCTGAGGAAACTGGAATGGAAGACTGACTGAGGAGGAGCAACCTCAGAGGAGGTGATCCCATGGAATGCAGTGTTACTAGGGTCATGATGGCCAAATATGCACCAGAACACTGCAGGCAGCAGAGGAACCAAAGCCAAATTAAGTGGCTTTCCTCACACTGAGTGAGCAGTCTGGTATGAAGTGGGTCTACACCTGTTAGGAATAAAATTTGATACTCAAAAACACAAGAACCCGTCAGGCAACAGTTGGTCAAGCAGAAAACTCAACTCCATGTGGGACAAAGGAAAGGGCTTTCTAGAAATCAAATTCCTAAACACTGCTATCCTTCAATGTCCTTAACTTTACTTCCAGATCAGAAAGACTTATTAAAATTAAGAACTGTTCGACTTTGGTGCAAAATTCAAACTTAATTTCCAACACTGTTTCTCATTTTTAAAAATGAATAATTTTTTTAAAAAATTAAAGGGGAAGGGGTTGGCTGGAGAGATGCTTCAGAGGTTAAGAATACCAGTTGTTCCAGGTTCAATTCCCAGCACTCACATGGTGGCTCACAACTGTCTGTAACTCCAGTTCCAGAATACCCGATACCCTCATGCAGACAAACAATGCAGGCAAAACAGCACTGAACATGAAATAAAAGTAAATATTACAAAACTTAAAAAACACAAGACACACACAATCACTCAGAAATATAGATTCTTCACAGCCTCCAGGACGCTGTTTGTGCTGAGCCTCTCGGCATCAACCCAGCCTGAGGTGGTGGGCTCTCACGCCCATAACTGCCCACTGTGATAGCTCAGTGCACATACCTGCTTCCTTCTTGCTTCCCTTTCCTCCCTCTCGGCTCTTCTTCAGCACAGCCTTCAACATTTTCAACACTCCTTTGTCTCTAGAGAGAAAAGGAAAGGAGTAAAATGTAGGAAAAATTGGGAATGTCATTTCCATGTTGATGGCATGTGTGATCCAGGCTCAGAAAAGATCCCTTAGGATAACCTAAGTCCCTGAGACGTATGTTACTTCCCTATGAATAAACATGTGGTGGGAAACAGTAGTAGAGATGCAAAGAATGCTTGATAGCACTCAGTGACGACATCAGAGGTTCACTGTCATGTTATAAAAGTTATAACAGCCACATGCAGTGCATTCCCGGCATTCCACATTTAATTAGGGTTACGAGGCTAAACCTGGGACCAGCACTAGTAGTAAGATACTTGGCATGGTGATATAATTTTGCCAGCCCTAATTCACAAAAAAAAAAAAAAACAAAAAAAAAAAAACATGAAATCGCAGAGATGGATAAGAAAGCTGCTACATGGTTAGCAGAAATGTTTTACAGGTGCCACTAATTATAAACCACGAAAACCATTTTGGAAGGTTACTGGTTTGGAACATACCTCACAAGCATTTGCAAACTAAATACAGATGGAGCACATTTTAACCCCGATGCCAGGTGGCCCAATTAAACAGTGCATACTCCCGTGCATTTTTACTATATATAGGTATGACTTTGGGAAGAAGATGAGGGGAATGGACTGTGGATTGCTGCTAAGTCCTTTAAAAAAAAAAAAAAAGAACCAACTGCATTTCGCATGGGGGTGGTACGGAGTTTGTTAAAACAACACAAAGGCCCAGGATTAAGATGAAACTGGAAACCATCTCTACAACAAGACACAATGGGACTATTGTTTCCTCATGACGCTGATGCACCACGGAGAAGTCAGAAAGCATGCAAGCAGTTCCAAAACCAACAAGGATGGAGGGAGAGAGGGGCAAGGGGAGGCGGTGGGAGAAACTTCTACCAGGAGAGGAATCCCACACCTGCCTCTCTAACTTGGAAGCTTCAAGTGGCCTCAGTGTGACAAGCCACATCTCAATGCTCAGAGTGAAGCAGCTTTGAGGGGCCCTTAGAGAAGGATAAGGAGTCTCAGAGTGCCACCATTCACAGAGCAACAACTGTAAGCAAACAGAGTGACCTTACTTATCATGTGGTCCAAGCCAGTATTTATTTTTCCAAGCCTTTGTTTTTACCAACGAAGAAACAGAGACCCTGGGTGACTTGACTCCACCCCCCGGGGTCACTCAGCTAATTAACAGCAGGGCCTGAATCCCAATGTGCAGGATTCCAGCTGCTCTGCCTCCCTTAGCTGGCTTGGCATCCTCCTCAGCAGGCTGACAGAGAGCCTCTCCTCTCAGATCTATGAATGCTTTGGGCAAACAAACAAAACTGAAAGATATTAGGAGGATAATATCTAGAAAGACATAGTGGGTATTAGAGTTAAATCTTTTTTACAAACAAGTCTTTACACACAAAAGGAGTGTGGCTTAGGCCCAATCCTGCCTTTGAAATGCTTCTCGAATCTGCATACAGTCTTTCCAGATCGGGGCCCCCGTGGAACCACAAGTTTCTCCTGACATCCATGCTTTAAAAAAAAAAAAAAAAATGTAAAGTGATGTAGTATTTTTTAAAAGGCCACGAAGGCCAGACATGGTGCCTCACACATGTAATCATAGTAGTCAGGAAGCTGAGGCAGGAGGATCACCAGTTTCAGGTCAGCTAGGATTACCCAGAAAGACTTTTTCTAAGGACTGTTTGTTTGTTTGAATTTAAAGAAGAGGAAAGCAAAAATAAAACAAATAGATGCCTAATAGGAACACAAATCTTCTTCTTCAAATCAAATGTGGAGAGTCATTATTCATTGAAGACTACACACTTTAAAAAAGAAAACGTGCGTGGTGGCTCACACCTTTGTCCAGCACACAGGTGTAATGCCCAAAATTAACCTGTAAACCCAATTTGCCCAGGAACTAGGTTAACTTCCAGGAATGCTGGGAATTGTAGTTCTTGGGAAATAAAGCCTCATGGGGAAACAGGATGGCCTACAGATTTGCCCTCAGAAACCCCTACAGTGCGTGGCTTAAGGCCATTCTCAGGTAGGAAATTCCCAGGAATGGGCCTGACCAAAGTCCATCTCTTGGTCAGTATTTAAAACTTAATGAATGCTTGATTCAAGTTTGGCCCAAATTGTAGAGTTAGTTTTTCTGGCAAGAAGAAGGATTAACAGAGGAGGCACAGGGACCCCGGATCTGTGGCTTACAGAGTGAATTCCAGGACGGGTAGGGCTACACAGAAAACCGCATATTGGAAAAAAAAAAACCACAGACAGACAGACAGACACACACACACACACACAAACGCCAGCCATAGGCCCCACATATGCTGTGGTGGCTCTCGGAGAGGCTTGTGCTTGACGCCCTGGCCATCTCAGGCTTCACTGAGTCCACAAAGCTGCCCCTACTAAACCACCAGGTCGTTCTTAATTTGCAGCAGGACTACCATGCTACAGGGCAAGGTCTAGGTGACACTGATTTTTGGCTCCTCACCCCAGACATCCAGCTGGCCTGTGTTGGGAGCTCAGCTGCTCCTGAGGATACTCACATCTTCTGTGTTAGGTAATAGGCTATCAAATATCTACAGTAGGTTTTTCTCCTTGGTTTGCACTCTCTCATGAACAGCTGACTTGGGGGAAAGTTCCAACAATGATAAAAGCTGTTCAGACAATGGCTCGGAGAAATAGATGATATGGGAGAACAAAATTAGTATCCTGCCACTACACACACACACACACACACACACACGAGAAAGACTTCTCAGCAAGTTAAATTCTGAAATCAACAAAAATTCAACTGAATCATGCAAAATCATTTGTGGTCTACAATCCATGAGGCATGGCCAAAAAGGTGGGTGGGAGGGAGAGACCATAACAAACCAGGCTAACACCGCATCCCTTAGATGGTCATAACAAACCAGGCTAACACCGCATCCCTTAGACGGTCAGCTGGCATACCTGACTGCACCTGGGTCTGTATATACACACCTACATACAGCTCTGACAACATACACCATTGCCTCAAGAGCCGAGTATTATTAAATGGCAACATGACAGAATCCCCACCTTCTTGTCATTCCACTCTCATCAGGAAGCACCTCCTAACTTGGCTCTTTTCTTTGCCCACCATCAGTGACACCGATCACACAATGGTCTGACATGCTGGCAGACATGATTCTGGGCGTAAATTCGTAAGTGGGTGTTCTGGATTTAAACAAAAGCTCACGTGTGCTTTGTTTTAATGGATGCTACTTTCCCAAGTCCCATCCATTTTACACAACAGTGCGTTTCTTGACTCCAGGGAGAAGACCAAGAAATTCTTTGATGGCAAAGGCATCAGGAGGCAGGAGCTCTGAGAAGTCACCCTCTGTTCATCATGCAGTTCCTTCCCAGTGGGCATCCACCGACACTTCCCTCAGACACTGTGAACACTGACTTGTCATGAACAAGAACCAAACACAGATGACAAAGAACACCCACCTCCAGATACAGAAATTCAGACCCAACTGAAGAAAGACTAGCACGCTGAAAAGAATCTGCCAGAAACTCTCAGGTTACTCTGGCACAGCCATGCACGCTGCAAGAAGGGATTAGGAACAAGTATTCTAAGGTAAAGCACAAGCCACGTCCACTGTAACTGCAAATATCATCCCAGACACCAAAGGAATGGGAGCAGCTGGCCAAATAGCAGCCCAAATTTTCTGTAAAACTGGCTCCCATGGCAGAACATGGAACAAATTTATGGTTAAACTCCTTTAATATCAGCACTTGGGAGGCAAAGACAGGTGGATCCAAAAGCCCTGAGTCTGAGGCTAGCTTGGTCTAGAGAGTGAGTTCCAGGATAGGCAGGGCTACACAGAGAAACCCTACTTGGAGAGGGGAAGGGCTCTTTTTGAACTGCACACCTGTAATCTCCAGACTGGCAAAGCTGAGGCAGAAGAATCACCATGAGTCTGGGACCCTCCTAGGCTAAAGAGAGAGATCTTGTCTCAAATGAAGGGGAGATGGTGACATATTTCAAAGCTGTGCTTAGCAGATGACAACTATAAGGTTATCCAGCTGGAAGCCTGAACCAAGAGAGTGGTTTGAGAGTTTAAGACCCACCTAGACTGCATAGTGAGACCCTGAGGGCAGAGACAGAGATTTCAGAGTACAGAAATCATCGCTACAACTTTAAGTTAGAGACTTTTGATCTGGGACGTAGCACATTGGTAGACTATTGGCCCAATATGGTAAAGGTTCTGGATTCCATCCCGAGGACCAGTTAAATATTTGCCTTTGTAAGAGTTGCCTTGGTCATGATGTCTCCTCACAGCAATAAAACCCTAACTAGGATGCTATATTATGAAGGGAGTCAGAGAAAAAAATCTCTCTGGAAGGTCATGGCCAAGCTAGTCTGTTGTCTGTAGTAATAAACAGAAGATCGATCTCAAACGAAGCAGAAAGTGACAACTGACAGTATAGATACACAGTCACACATATACATGCACATCGTGTATGCTTACAAGCATGTGCACACATAACAAGAAACAAACAAAATGCACCAAAACCCTCTCCAAGTTAAACTCATCATCAAAGGGCTCCCACTTGGTATTTCTCTGTTAGCACATCAAGTCTTTGGGAACAGACACAACACCCTTGTGTCGTACCACAGAAATTTTGCACTGCATGGTACACTACCACCTGATATAGAACATCCTAGGAGATCAAAGAGAAATTTTCAAAAGAAGATAAAATCTATCACAGTTGTCAATCACTACAAGTCATGGACTAGCTATAAAGGGGTTGCTTCTGCAGTGGCATGTATGCTGTTTATGCAGCACTGAAACAACTTCCTAGCAGAGGGCAGGGACTAGGTTTATTCTTTAACAGATACAATCAGAAGCCAGAACACAGGCTCTGTACTCACTCTGCTCTCAATATTTGTTGACAGATTTAACCAGACTCACATGAGCTATTTCCTCCCAAATCAAGCAATTAACCAGCCATTTATGGCAGTTTA